TTTAATTTATTTAATTTAAATAACTGAATTTCCCTTCTGGGATAAATAAAGCATTTTTCATTTCATTTCATTTCATTTCATTAATACTTTGGTGGTAGTTTTAGAATTTAATAACATCAAATAACAGCAGGTTTAGGGCACCCCTGTAGCTCACCAAGCTGAGCAGGCGACCCATAAACAGGAGCTACAGACACAGCGGTCGTGGGTTTGCCTCCCGCTCACGACCCTTTACTGAGATCTCTCCCCATTCTTCTCCCCCTTTCCTGTCTGTCTCTGCTGCTCTAAATAAAGGCAAAAAGCCCACAAAAATATATATTCTGAAAAAACAGTGTGTTTAGAGCAGACAGCTTGCTCCCACCCAGATTAACAGCATAAACCATTGTAAAACAAATTAATCAACTTAAATTAAGTAATATTTAATCACAGTGTTTGTCTCATTCCTTAACAGCCAAACCTTGAGAACTTTCAGCCTTTGCAATGTTGTAACTGCATTGTTTTAAATTTCCGTTTTAATTTGATTAATCGTTCAGCCTGAGTTTGGATACACAAACTGCACAGACAGTTCTCGTTAGTAGAATCAAATCATTGTTTGGTTTTGGTCTTTTCATGGAATTTGTTAATTAAGCATCCTGAAAAATGATTTAAAGGCTTGTTTACTGCTTCTAAACTACTGGTACAAGGCTTTGCAACAATACAAACAATTATGAAAAAGATTTTACAAGATTTAAAATACCAACAGATGACTGTTTATGTCAGACTTGTCTGTGGCATCTTGCTTAAAGGAATCCATCCTCGTGAGCTAATCAAGGGCCCAAAGTATTGATTTTATATCTGTGATGGATACTCGCCTCCTCCAACCTATCAGCCATCTTTAGCACCATAAAGCAGACTCACCCTGGTCCGACAGCGAGGATCTCCATCAGGATCCGTCAGTTTACCCCCGTAATACGCCGGCAGCTCCTCTGCATCGATGTACTTCAGTAAAACCTCCTGCCAGTTCGCTGCAAAGCAGAGAAACTCTCATTTTTGTTCATTTGAATTAGGTGTGTGGATGTATTTTCTAAAACATAATGCAAACAGTTTCTCACCTCCCAGGATGTAGATCTTTTGTCGCGTGTTCTCACTCAGGAAGTGTTTGACGAGGTTGTAGGCCACTGGAAAGAGTTTGGGGGCTGAAAAAAAAATCAGATGGGATGATTAGAAAAAGATAAAAACACAAAAATAGAGGTGGAATCAATGAATCACTCCTCGTTTCATTTGTAATACAGATGCTTTACCTTTAATAACAAACAGTCTCTTCAGGCCTTCTGGGTAGTTGTCTTCAAACATCTGGAGGATCTGGTGTGACGGAAACATGGATGCCAAGAAACCTTTTAGTCTGCTGTAGTTTTGAGAACTCTGTTTTTTACACTAGATGTGTGTGATTCTGTACCTCTCCGTATGTTTCTATCGCAGGCTTCCATAAGTGTTTAAGACCGAGACCTTCAACATCGTAGATCATAGTGATTGACTCCACGTTCCTCCCCAGCTGGAAGGAAACAGTGACAGAAAGACAGAAACTTGATCTATAAAGTACAAATATTAAAGTGGCTGACATTCACGTGGCAGAGCTTGATGTAGAGGTGAAGGTTTATTCTTTGCTCCGGATGTCCACAAATTAAACTTAAGAAAGAAACTGAGCCCCAATTGCTTGAGAAGTCACTAAAAAAAACTGTCATAACTTAAAAGTTTGTGCCAAATGAATGTAGTGTTCTGTATTGAAGCGTTCCCGATGATATTTACTAAAGCCAACAGACCAACATAAAAAAAAAAAATTTAATTAAAAAAAATTTGCAAGATGTGGAGAGTAATTTCACACTGAAAGATGCTTTTTAAGTGTTAAAGAATTAACAGGACTATCTAGTCAAGTCATACATCTGTAGCTTGTGAGAAATTCAAATGCAGCGTGGCATTCTTGTCTCAAACTGTTCTATATAAAAGCATTATGAGGCCAAATCTTGTGGTATTTTGCAAGAAAAGAAAAATAACGCAAACTTTTGTGAAGATATTTCTTCACCTACCCGAGCAATAAACCCTTAAATGAACCTTCTGACTCTCATTGTGGGTTGGACTTGGGTTCAAGTGACTGAATCTGAGTGAGTCCTCAATGAGTGTTGAGTGCAGTTGCTGACTTTTCAGAGCTAAATCTGCTTCTTCCACTTCTATAAACAATACACCTCTGCCCAGGAGACATTTTAGTATCAGCAGTCTTTGAACATCGACGGTCTCTTACTCTCTCCGACTGGAGGTTACACTCCTTCTGCAGCATCTCACAGTCCCTGATCTTGGACTTGATGAAGTCTTGCTTGGAGGCCGACAAAAAGAGGCCTTTGGGGTCCACAGGTCCGATGACGTCGTACCAGATGGGGCTGCCTTCACGGTCGTGGCCACACATCCCTCCTGACAGATACTTCTCTATCACCTGCAAACAGGAGCCACTTTAAATGTCAAACGGTGGGTTCAACAACTGGCGAACGGAAAAACTGGGGAAGGTTTTACCTCTGGTGCACGCCATTCAGTGATGATTGTGTCTACTTTCATGTGTTTCCTGAACTCCAAATGCTGGAAGAAAAGATGGCTGCATGTTACATTTAAAACCAAATGAGTAATTTTTTTATAATTGCTGATGACAGACTGATTATACAGCTACAGGCCTGCCCAGGCACCATGTAGTAATTTAAGTGGCTCTGGAGGTTTTGTAGGTGGTGTAAAACCTGACCCGTCAGCAGGTAGGAGGTCAGTTATGCACCACTGTGTACACACTACACAACACACATACACAACGTTTAAACAAAATGAATGTAAATATCTGCTGGACAGCTTCATATGTCAGAGCTGTTTGTCAGTCTCTTTGATTTACAGTTCTGCCCCCTAGTGGGCAACAATCAGCTTTAAGTTGGGTAACAGTAAATCTTCTGTCATCGTAAGTACTTATTTAATCTCTTTTATCTATGTCTTATCTCCTCAGGCTGCTGTGATGACTCAGTTTGCCCACAGTGAACCATTACATCACTGCTCCTCTCTAATCTGGAGCCACTCCTGCACTGACCGATTGTGATGGAGGTAAGAGCCCTTCTAGGAATACACCGAATGGGAAGCCATTGTGGTTGTACTTTGGCTTTTAGTTGAGTTCTGCGCTGTATTTCTACAAGAGCGCTATTAATATGTCCTGTCCAACAAAACTGAGATTTCAAGTCCATTACCTTTCTCAGCATGGCCTCAGACTTCTGGACGTTGAAGTTTCTGGCTGAAAAAGAAACAGGAAACAGGAAGTAGACATGATTAAGACAGACATTCATTGTACATAGTATTTTTTTTTTTTAAACCAAAACACAGAGTGGGAAAGTTAAATTTAGTAGTGAACTTAGCAATTTTCAAAACTCAAGTTACAAAGTGTATTAATGGAGGCAGAAAAGGGAGAGTGAGAAAAAAAGGAGCCAAGAAAATATGTGCAAAAAGAGAATTAAATGCTATAAGGAAAACAAGCAGCGTAATATCACAGTGAATAGCGTCAAATTCTGTCTGCACATTTGCTTGACTGTTTACTTCATTCCAAGTTACAGAATAAATGTGTGAAAAAATCAGATAAAAAACTGAAGTGATGATTAATCACATCCTGAAAGCACGGTTCCTCTAAAGACACATGATCATTTGTGCATCATTAAACTCTGTCAAAGGATTTAAAAAAGTCAGCTGGGCGTGCAGGAAAGTTCAACAGGATCACGCTTTAGAAATCTGCTGAACCTTGTAATGAAATCTGCTTAACACAGGGAATTTCTCAAACGCTTGAAATAACAGCAACAAATAAGAATGAGATTTAGAGGGATGGAGGACCCACCACATCCTGTTTCACTGTTCTGTCTGTTGAGGCACTGGTTTAAGCAACATTGCTCCAAAAAGGGCAACTTTTTGCCAAATAATTTCAATAAAGTACAAACACAACTAGTACACTGGTTCATAAAAATGCATACAATTGTGCAGAAGTTCTTTTAAACTCTTCTCTTCTCCATAAACGGCACAGAGGCAAAATGAAATCAAATTAAATAAAATCTGAAATTCTAAACCTGTAACCAGCAGCCAAAGACCTCCTCTATTCTAACATGATGAGGATTAGAACCACGGTGTCAGTACGACTGATGCGGAACAGAGTGGACACACGGTCCACCGTCTAATGCTCCTTCTAAGGTGATTAGCTGCAGCTCACTGTCTGGGTGGAAAAGCACAGCAGCGTTGTAGCTGTGAAGTGAGACTTACAACTTACTCCTGCAGTGGATTATGCTGGAGCTAATACTGCGTTCTGGCACATTAACTGGGGCCTCGATTGCACACAGTGACTCAAACTTACAAAAGCACAAAGCTGGATCTGGGAGGTGACCGGGTTGTGTGTTATTTTGGGTCAGTGATATCCATCCAATCACCTCGCTGTGCCAGTAAACACATGTTTGAACCCTTTAACTTGAGATTATTGTGACTGCATTTTATTTTCCAAAATGTCACTATTAGATTTGTTTTGGTCTCTGGCGCTGAGAGTTAATTACCCAGACGCTGTCGACGCATTATAACGTATGCCTCGCTGTCAGTTGCTTTCTTTTTTAGGCTGTAATCCATGTTCTGAAATTTCTTTTTGATCTGGAGCATCAGAATTTCTTCTTGGATGCTTCCTAGTTTGCTCTGCCCTAGTTGCTGTAGCTTACTGTTTTCATTGTTCTTTTATTCTGTCTTTGGTAAACTCAGGTTGTTTTAAACGTGCTAAATAGATAAACTTGATTCAGTTTGATTTAATTACAACAGCAATGACTGGTAGCTCACAGAAAACGCATTGCCACCCGTCTCTTTCTTTATCAGGCTGTTTTATGTGCCACATCAGAAGCTTTTCGCGCATGCTTCCTAGGTTGCTCGGTCCTACTCCTAACTGCTGTAGTCTACTCTTCTAACAAGTTTGTCTCCTGTCTTTGGTCAGCTCCGGTCATTTGAAATGTGACTTGTAAACTTGATTTCATTTCATTTCATACTCCATCATCATGGTTGCCTCCATGTTCAGCTCAGGCAAACTAATCATTGCTAGTTGACATAAAATGCGAGAATGAACTCTAGTATATATGAATACATTTCTAATGTTTGGGAAACACTGAGAAACAATCTACAAGCCTTTTAGTGTGTGAGCAAAGTACAGATTTAAAACTCAAGTGTATGGTGAAACACAGAGATTTACCTGATGCTTACTTGCCTGATCTGTATTGTGTGAACTTGTTTGGCCTAAATCTAATGGATGTAGTCATCTATACATATAATATATTAGGGAAAGCTTTATAATGTGGCTTATAGCTGGTATTAGGTCTTCCCATACAGCTCATTATCTGACAACTATCATGCTAACTGCTAATATCGCTCACACTACTGGTGCATGTTCACTCAAACATGCAGGGACAACACACTTTGTGACAATGTTGTTGTCTTAAAAAGGCTTTTTTATCGATCAGTTGAAGCCCCCCATCATCAAAAAAAGTGAACACAGATGTTGTATTTTTATGCCTCATAAGTTGCTAAAAAGGCTAAATTGTTTCATTCGTCTGTTGCTCTGAATAGAATACAAGCTAAAGTAAAGGAAGGCAAAAGTCAACACATTTTTTTCTCAGGTCAGGCGTCAGAATGCACGCATGTGATCACAATTAGCCTAAAACAATTATCTTGTGACTAAATCTAGACTTCAGTGGTGATTAGATTAAGAAACATTTAGGGAGTTTTGTTTGTGTGGTACAAAACAAGTTGACTACTTTATAATACTTTGTATTAATGTGCTATAGTGTATCGACAGACACAGGCTGAATTGGTGTCACGTTTCCTGTTGTATGTCTCAGGGTGGAGCTCTGTAAAAGATAAATGTAATCTGGGTTAGAGTGAGAGTTATCTGAGGGCAGACCAGTGTTTTCTACGGGGGGGAGGATCATTGGCCTCCAGTACATCCTCTATCATATAGGAGGGCCTAACTGACTCTGTTGTACAGTTCAGTACACAAGAGACGACTCACTTAAAAACAAAGACAATGACAAACTCCAGCGGGCCCAATGGGCTCAGATTCATCAAGGGACTGATGTTGTATATCAGTGCCCTGTCTTTCCCACAGCGATTGTGTTTACATGGGCGACAGATTGTGCTTATGAAGCTTACCCTGGTTTTGTTTATGCTGAAGATTCAGTATTTACATGGAGCACAGAGATATCTGGGTATTTATACCCCCATGATACATACTAGTGCCCTGGTTACTGATTAGTGCTTCTGTTTGTGCTGACGTATCTGATGTTTACAACACAAACCATCAGTTTAGTGTGACATTCCTGGTACTGTTGGTGTAACCCTAAATTATTTCGACTGTGGCTATTGAAAATGAGGCCACATTAGTGTACAGCAGGCTTAGCACTGTTAAATGCCAACATCGTGTTGTGGATTTGTCTTATCCACCTTAATGCCAGCAATGGGAGTTGAGAGCAACAGGAAATATGTCCGCTTTGACCAATGTTGAGTTGTCACTGCCACTGCATAGGGCAAGCTAGCTGTGGAATATGTAATGTAGAAGCTAGAGCCTTATAAAGCAGCACATGGCTGGTAATAAGGACTTCCCATACAACTTATTATTTGATGACCCTCATAACTAAGCAGTTAAAACAGCTAAAATTGCATTTATGAGACCAGAGAAAACAACAGTTCAAGCACCAACTCCACCACCAGTGAGACTGACCATAGTGTTATACAAGCTGAACATCCATCCATCCATCCATCATCTATACACCGCTTAATCCTCATTAGGGTCGCGGGGAGGCTGGAGCCTATCCCAGCTGACTTAGGGTGAAGGCAGGGGACACTCTGGACAGGTCGCCAGTCTTACAAGCTGAACATTTGCAGGAAATAAAACTTCACAAAAGCAAAGTCGAAGCAGTGCAGATAATTTGTGTTTCTGTTACATGACTTGGCTGAACAGGGCTACAAAAATCTGCCAAGTGTGACTAAATATTTCAAGTTATCGTGCTATTATGTCTGCCATTTAGCAGGTCTGTCAGTATGTCTTGGTTATAAATGAGGTAAATCTGACATTAAAACGCCTCAGTTCATTCGGTCCTAACTCATTTTTAATCAGTGGCCTGCCTGAGTTGCTGAACTGCAGTAACTGAGTGGAGACTAGAGGCTTCTCTGTGCACAGCTGCCTTGTCACATCTACTGATAGTCTGCATGAGAGGTGTGAGCTTCAGAAAACAATCTAGGTTACACTCTCACCCTTTAAGAACCTGCATGCTCATTGGTCCTCGTGCCACCCACCACCACAAGTAAACTCCTAATCTTTAAGAAACACTGAGAAATGATGAAACATTCAACGTTATGCAACACAGGTCTGAGCAAAGCACACGTTAAAAACCTTCTGAGGCTTGAATATAACGCATGGAATCATTTACATAAATAAAATGTATAAACCAAAGCCTTATAATGTAGCTCATGGCTGGTATAAGGACTCCCCATACAGTTTATTATCTTATAACTCTAACACTAACTACCAATACCCTCATACCACTGTTGCATGTTTACTGAAAATGTAGGGTCAAAACACTTTGTGACAAATAACATTACAAAAAAAAAAGGATTTTCTGCCATTTATGTGACTAAAAAGGACAAAGAAAGGCAAAAGTCACAACATTTTCTGTCATGTCAGGAATCGGATTACACGCATGTGATCATGATTATCCAAAAATGATTGTATTGTGACTTAGAAATCAGTGGCAGTCAAGGAGAATGGCTGGCAGCAGAGTTTTTTGCTGTGTGCAAATCAACATTTCGAAGTGAGGAGCTACCTTTACTCATTTTAAATCAACATGATGAAAAACGATTCAATGTACAAAACATTAATCTGCACTATTAGGAAATTATCATCCGTATGTGTGTAGGAACAAACCAAACAGGTCAGGTTTATAGTGTGTTACTCAGTGCCAATAAGAAATGTAAAAAAGTAACCTGAAGCTGAAGCTGCACCTGTGCAGGTAGTTGGATGTTGAAGATGTTTACACGCAGCAATAATAGCATCCTGGTTTCTTTTAGAGGGCTTTATGTATGACAATCTGATTTCTCCAAACCAGGAACAGGCTTATCTTGGTTTCTGAAATCAGAATGTGATCTTAACAGAACTAATCAATGTACACACTCTCATTAGATCATGTTGTTTTCTTCTTTTTCAAGGACCAGGAAACAGACACTTATGCCCAGAGTATAAACAAAGTCTGTTTCGACAAAGAGGCAACACATCTTTTCACTGATGCTCTCTTTGCCTGTAATTCAGTGTGGTGCCCACAGTCATCATTTCAGGTCACAAGTCAGCCTGGGATACAGGAGGGACTTTTTCCCCACTCAAATTCATTTCAGATGAAACCACTAGGTATGAAATGTATTTAATAGCCAAGGAGAGCTGCATTAAGACGATTACTGTTCATGTGCCTCATCAGACACTGCGTCCTGTGTTCAGAGGAGTTTAAACAGGGTCTGTGTATAAAGAACAAAAATCCGCCATTCAGTTCCATCATTAGTGCTCACTGTGTCACCTCAGGCTGTTTGCTGTAAATCAATAAACTATTCACACAGCCTGAATGGCAATCATCTTTACATTCATGCCCACAGTGACATAACTTGAGTTATTTAGAGCATACATCCCCCCTAACAGGCCTTCATTGTCCACGTTTGGAGCTGTGGCGCTCAACTTTCTCAGACGTTTTACAAGCGCCACGGTCATTTAGTTAGGCCTAATTAAAGGGAACAATGCGCCCTCACTGCCGCTCTGAATCCTTCTTATGAAACTCGCTGTCATCAACATCCAGGAAACTCAAACCCAGGAGAGCAACAGAAACACAGCAGCAGACGGGCTGTTGCCATCGTAGTGCACCTTTAATGCGATTAGCTCTGGATTAGCCTGATACGCAGAGTGCTAGATCTCCGCCTCAGAACTAATCAGAGCAAGGCCTGCTTCAATCACTACTTCCTGTTTCATCCACGACCTCAACATGCCCCAGGAAAATCACCCTCCGAATCAGTCAACTTTACTTTGAAAGGGGCCCTGAGTTCTCCTTAGGCCCGCTGCTAGAACTTGACCAGCGTGTCGAGACTCGACAGTTCAACGTGTGTCTTTCTCAACCGTTGCAAACAGCGTTTACATGAGTTGCATTATGTCCTTTCATGTAATAAAACCCTGCAGCTTCTGCTTTTTTTTGCACAAGTGCAATGTCACCAACAGATTTTCCCCGTGACTGCATGCAAATGATGACAGACACAACCACAAACTGACCATGAAGAAGAAAAAATATGGAAGACGCTTCTGCTTTTGCTGTCAACTCACCTCGGAGCCATCGTAGCAGAAAGTGGTCGTGCTGCGCAGGAAGCTGAGGAAGAATATCTTGTATCCTCGCTCGAAACTAGAAGAAGAAGAAACATGACTTTCAGAGGAATCTACAACCAAGTCTTGAAGCGGTGAAGAGCTTTTTCATCTCCTCAAGGCCAAAAGTATGTGGACATGGAAGCATAAGGGCTGCAAAATAATCCGCCAGTTGTTTTTTTTGATCAACAAATTATTCATTTGGATTAAAAAATGCCTAAAAATGTCCCATCTACAGTTCACAACCTAAAAATGCTGTAATAGAAGAAAAATAAAAACAAATATTAAAAGTGGAGTTGCTAATAGATAATTGTTTATCTCCACTGTTCTGGTTTTAGAGCGACAGGTAGGGCAGAATAATTCATTATGTTTCATTTAAATTCCAGTTTACAACGCCGCATTAGCAAATCGCAAAGGCTGCAACTTCTGACTCAGAATTTAAACTGTCAAGCAGTGCTTCTGACATTCCTAGACTTATTCACACGTTTTCAACCTGCTACATGGTGAATATTCAGCTAAAACAAACTGCAATACCTCTCAGGAAAATCACAATTTGCGATTTTGTTTCAGCTAAAATTTGTTCGTGAGATGTTGTGCAGAAAAGCCTCAGCAAACATTTCATTCCAAAGGTTTTGGATGAGTAGAAGGACTCTGTGCAGACTAGTTGTGTACTCCCACATTAAAACCTTTTCTTTCAGGATCTGGCTTAATGCACACCGGTACAGTCATGTCGAAACAGGAAGGTCTCTCTCCTAAACTTTTGCCTTTAAGTTGTAATTACTTCAGAGTCACTGTGCTGCAGCATTAAGATTCCCCTTAAACCCTTAAGTCCTGGGCTGTTTTGTGACATATCCACCTGAACAAGATGAATCAGAAACAGCTCCACAACTGGAAAGCTGAAAGATGGATAAAGATTTAGACACACGTGAGAAAAGGTTTAAATATAACGAGTCTCCTGAACCTTATAACATATTGTCATTTTTATTTCTGCCAAATCAAAACTCTAAATTCGAGCGTGAATAACATCCTAATAACACTGATTTATTAAACTTGCTGTCAAAATTCTCAGCTGTAATTTCACAAAATCTGATCCAGCAGATATGAATCACAACAATGCCACGCCTATTTTAATCACAGGGGCATCAGGTAGCTTCTTTGTTGAATGTGCAACGCTCTGCAGCTTCTCATGCTCTAATAGCAGGTCTGCTCACTATGAAAAAACTATGAAAAACAACAGGTGGACAGGTTTTTCCACACAGCATAGAGCATAATTCACCTCTCCAAACATACAGATGACAGACTTCAACTAAAATGTTAACACATATTGTATGACAGCAGCCTTTAACGGGGCTTTACATGTTGCAACTAATGGCGTCACTAATTGCTAATGAGTAATATGTGATAGATACACATATAATAAGCTGCCGTTAAGACAGCATGAGTCTCCCTGGAAAAGGTTTGATTCAGAAGTTGAGGGGACACAAACGGTGTCTGACATTCTTCAACAAAAGAAATAATCTCTTAAAAAGATTCATGCAATTTTTTTGCATATATTTGCAGAAGAAAATGTTTATTGTGCATTTCATATGTAACAGAAAATATCTGTACTGTATTGTATTCAATCATTAAAAAGCACATTTTGTCTGAATAGCACTGTTCTCTGCTGCTTTGGCATTGACTAAGCATCTCTAGAATTAGATTTAAATTTAATTAATAGCTGAGACAACTGATTAATTAATATTCATTTAAGTTGCTAAAATTGTCAAGTCATCCCTGATTGACTGTTGAAATCAGTTCAGGAGCTGCTGCTTATGGTAAACTGTACCGTCTTTGTGCGAGCTGGAATAATGAGAAGTTTGAAGATATATTGTTGTTGAATTTGTCAGGTTTTACTTTTAAACGTCACCTGACTGTTCAGCAACTAGATAACTGTCAGTTGCGTATCAATGAAAACATGATGAAACAGTTTTTCCCTTCAACTCTCAGTGGAAACGTTAATATTAATGGTCAACAATATCACAAACTGCTTCACACATCAGTTATAGGATGTTGAAAATAGTAGGTGCCAGTTTACCAGTTTAGAGCTGCAACACTTAACTGGAAAAAAAATAATTTGCGGCAAATTTGATCTTTTTGGTCATTTTTTGTGCAAAAAAAACAAAACAAACATCAGCTGCTGGTTCAAGCTTCTTAAAGGATTTTTTGCATCTATGATGAAAACAACAATTTGGGACTGCTCTGGACATTTAACTACCTACCAGCTGTAAAAGATTTAACACGCGTTTCTTTAATTGTTGCTATTTCATACATTTTAAATAGACTATTGTGTGATATCACAGGGCTGCAATGTGCTCCTTACTGATTTATTTACTGATCCATGAGCAATTAATCCAGTTTATAAACTATGTACAAGTTTGAAAGATCAGAATGTTCAAAAAGGCAAAACATTACATGTAGGGAGCTGGAATCATGGCATAGAGCTGATATGTACAGCACAGTGTTTGACCAGTAAATAAACACACATGCATGCCACAAAAGTCACAATTAGATATTTTCTTCGAATCACTTAGTCCTCGTGTTGTTGTGTTTTTGTGATTTTAACTTTTTTATTCTACACTGTCATTAATTCACTTATATCCTCATGTTTAAGTATTTATTGTGACTCCTATCTGTCTGTAAAGCACATATGTATAAATTAATTAGCATTTATTCCGGATAGGTTGAAAAGTGTAGGTTCAAAAATTCAACAGTGTTCCCACTAACTTGAAGATAACACATTTTACTAAAAGCAGCAAATTCCTCAGTGATTCTAACCAGTGAATAAGAGATGTTTACTTGGTAAACGAGTTTAACAATAATAGATCAATTAAGATATGTAATAAAAGTCTCAGCTCCAGATTTTATGAGGCAATGTTGGCTAAGCAGTTATGTAACTGCTCCAGTGGTACAAAGAATATATATAACGGTGAGGAGATGAGATAAGACATGATATTACCCCTTCACAATAAGATTGCATTAAGTCGCCTGAAACAAACCACATTTGACAAATTAGAGTGTTAAGGCATCATCATCATCATCTACGTGTTTAAATGATTAGACATGATTATGATAAATATTAGATCACCTGCTCCAGAGCTTCAGCCTGTTTAGGACTCAGGTCTCCCACTCTCCCACTCATGTCTGCGTCCTGAGGCTGTCAGATGAACCCAGCAGCTCCTTCAAAGTCAAACGTGCAGACAGAAGGAGGAAGAGCACCGTCACCGTGCACCGTGGCCGCCGGCTCTCTGTCTCTGACGCCGCCCCGGGATGCTCATTCGCGGCCGCAGTGTCCTGATGGTCCCGCTGCCTGTCAGCTGCCTGCTGCAGGTGAGCAAACGAGCAGGAGAGGAAAAAAAAGAAAAAACGTAAACAGGAGTCAGTCAGCGCCTGTTGGAGCTTCAACCGGCTGACTCGGCCAAAGACAGGACAAATAAGAGGAGGGTCACTCTGTGCGAGAACGAGGAGAAGCTCCGCCCCCTGTTTATTAGCCCCTTACACAATAAACAACAGACACGGATTATGTCATTCAACACGTCTGTAGCCATAAAACATCAACTTAGTAACTTAGTTCAGTTCAGTGTGCCTTATTAGCTTAAGTGCCATGTTAATAATATAACATCCAGAGCATCAAGGGTGGTTCAGTTCCTAAACTAACCAAAAAATACAATTTATTAGGTGGAATAAAAATGATTAAAATGAGCAGTAAAAATGTGCCATATTTATAATAGACTATGGCAAGATAATTGTCACATTTAATAATGCTGTTTATTAATTAAATGATTTAGAATAAAACCACATCACTTAATTATGTCTTCTTGGAGAACTCACTGGAAACGAGGGGCTTTAAAGCCAAGAAGCTTTTTTTGCACAATCTTTGTTGGGACAGATGAACTGAAGTCTTATTTAAACCAATCAACTGAGGATGCTTTGACTGTATATCGCCAAAATAGTGCAATAATCACTTGCTAAGATGAGAACTTTATCATTAATTTTCACCAAATAAAATACAAAAAGACATCAGGCGACTTGATAAGACTTTTATTGAGAAAAAAGACAAACATCATTTGATAATCGGTGCTGAGTCAGTGAAGCCAGCCTATGCTTTGTTGGTGGAGCAGCTCATTGGATTCATTAATACTACAGACAGTATGCTGGCGGTATGTGGCTCTTGCAGAACTTCATTAAACTGATACGACAAAAATGTGAACTGTGAAGTAGAACAGGTAAATGTTTAAGGATGTGCAACTCTGACTGATCCATGTCCATGTCAGAAAAATGAGCCTTATCAAAGTCCTGCGAAACAATCCTGCAGTAAAATCAGATTTCATTTAGATAAGCTAAATGTGAGACTCACAGTCCTGTCAATGGTGATTAAACAAAGTGTTTTAGTGACTATACAGGAGTTTTTTTGTGATATTTATTATAACTGGTATTCATGTTTGTCAAAAAAACTACTAAGCTGTACTGTTCAGAGATTTAATAAGCTGACTGTTGCACTTTACCTTACACGTAGAGATCTGAGGAGAAGCAAACACTGTAGTCCTCAACTGTTGAGTGATTCATCCCCAGTTGAAGACAATAGACGATCTTTGGTAGTACGAAAGTGTCACACATGCGCACTTACAATAAGAGAGGTTTATAAAGTTTGCATTTTGGTTTGATGCTGTAGTAAAATTAACACCACGAGCTACTGCTACTACTTTTTAGTTTTGTTCAGTTGCCGTTGTTTTTGTTCAGTTTTTTTTCGTAAATGATCGATGCGATATGAAAGTGGTCGCACTGCGCAGATGCAAAATGGAACAGGTAGAGGTGGCTCGATTTTTAGCCTTCAGAGCTCACAGTAAAGAAAGCATCTGAGTTTAATCACGCTGCCTGTTCATAAAAGTGACATAAATTTTAAAGTTTTTTACGGCATCCAGCTGCATTTACTTCGTGTAGACTCGGGTCTTTAAAGCGAAGAAGGAAGTGTAGGACAATACTTCTCTCGGTGCTCATTTCGTCTCTGTTAGCAAGAAGTCAACGTCAAAAACTGAACGTTATCGGCAGAATCTTGTCCTAAAGTTAAACAGTATTTAAAATCAGATGCTGATGATCACATTAATATCGAGAGCGAATATGTTGTTATCGGATTTAAGTTTTGTAATGGTTAAAAGCGCCTCCTGAAGAGTTTGTGTTCAAGATAACAATCCTCTTCCTGTTTCCGGGTCGGAGCCGGAAGCTGCGCTGCTTGTTTACATTGTTCGGGGAGCTGCGAGCGAACAGGCGAGCCAACCCGCTGCAGCTCCTCCGAAAATGAAAGCTGACAGCTGATCGGGGTTTGTATGTTTTTTAACACGGTGCTCGGCTGCGTTTTCTCCCTGTAGTCTCTCCGGTCATGGCTGTGGCTCGCTGCTGCTGTCTCTGCGTGACGTTGCCGCTGCTCCTGCTGCGGTGGCCGGGGCTGCTGGTGGCGGCGGAGCAGGTCGCTCTGGTGGAGGTGTTCGTGGAGCAGCGGCCCGGCGCCAGCGCCCTGCTCCAGGGGGAGGTGGTGGAGTCCAGCAGGAGCAGCGGGAGCTCCGAGCACCGGGACGAGGAGCTCGAGGAGCTGGAGGGAGACCTGGTTCTGGTGAGTCGGCCTGGAGGAGGGTCATTACTGGTCCTAACTGCACAGTCTTGTCTGAACCGTTAATGTGGCTGAAAACCAGTTTATGTGAGACTATAAAGCACCAGGGCTCCCACCATAGACTGTATATTTACAGTCTGTGAATGCATAATGTCTGTTACTGGACTAGACTTCATCAGTGTGAAGTAACTGAGTAATATAAGTTTATTTTATTGACTTAGCTGCAGCTGAGAAACTGTGACTCTGTGTCACCTGTCAGAGGTGAAGAAAAGGTCCTGATCTTTACTGGCTTCATACAGGGGATGATTTATATTTATCAGTTATTAATGAAGTTACTGCCATTGTGCTTAAATGCAGCAGCTGTCTCTCCTTGGAGATGCTCATCCTGCTGCTGTGTGATGCAGCAGGTATTTAATCAACTCTGAGAAAAGACTTCTGAAAAACTAATAAACTAAAGAAATAAACTTTAGCTCCTGTTAATGTTATGCCAAAGCCTGGATTACATTAATTGTTGATGGGTTTCGTTAATCTGGCTGTCTTTGTTGCAGTAAAGTTCTATTTCTATGCATGTTTCAGTTTGTAATGGAGATGAGATTTTAGGGCAAAGTGAAGGAGGTTTTGGCTGCAGACTGTTTTTTTCATCTCTGTGATGTTTATGGATAAATATTGGTGCCCCAGTGTGGAAAAAATATTCTCCAAAATCACTTTGTATAACTTGAAATACATCGCTTGTGTGTGATGATCCTTTAATGTGACTGCATGACGTTCAGACTTTTCTGTGTTAAAGTGAACATTTTACCAGCTCCGACCTAAAAAGACTGCCGTAGCAGCTTTTACAGAAATATGAGCAGTGAGCTCATTCACACATAACACATTCAGAGGCTGTCAGATTAGTAAAAAGGAGTGCATGATTGAAAGGGGCTTAAGTTTTTATCTGAATAGAACGAATTAAAGTGTTTAGTCACAAGTAAACAAGTACAACTCTTGGCTTCCTACACAGCCTCCAAATGCAGCTCCTCCTCTGGGTCCTCGGGGAAGATTTGAATGTGACATTGCAAGGCCATGTCCATTTTAAAGTGATTTAAAAGAGAAGTTATTTAAATTTCCGCTCTGCAGGACCAATGTTCAGCTCTGTTTCCTGTCCTCAGGTTCGAGATGAGGAGACCCAGGTAAGCAAGGGAACAGACGAAGACATCACCAAAAACCAGGAGCCGTGGATCGGGGTGGTGCCAGTAGAGATGGACGACAGCAAAGCCTCCACTGGGAACCAGGAGTCCTTCGCTGATGCAGTAGTCAATAAAGTAAGTACATTATCTTTAGTCTTTAGCAGCTGCTGCTCAACCAATTTTGGGATTAAATGTTGTTTACAACGCCTGCTGCCAGTTTGTTTCTCTGTAAGTCTTTTAGGTGAATTTGTTGTCGTAAAATCAATCAATCGATGAGTTTTCAGCGCGAGAGTTTGTTAAAACCCTGAATTGTCACATTCTGTTATCTGTGTTCAAGATGAAGCGAGCGTTGGTCCTCGGAGCTTCAGCACTCATCATTCTTGCTCTCAACCAAAACACCGTCAGCGAGGTAAAAGTTCAGACACTCAGCCCAAAAAGAGCATAACAACAGTGTGTGTCTGCAGTCGTCCTCCTTTTTGTATCACAACAGTAGAATGTGTATTGACAGGACGCAGCTTTCATTCACTGTAAAATATTTACAGCATCTTCATTTGAAAAACAGAAATGTTTTTTTTATATATGAGGTCAAGAACTAAGAATTGGTGAGTGATTGTCAGGTTTCTTACCTTAAACTCTGTCTGTGGTAGATGGATCTGTCTCAGGTGCTGTCCAAGCCCATCATTGTGATCCAGACGTCAGAAAATGTCACCAAGCTGATTGGAGCTTTGCTCAGGTACAAAACGCCTCATCACAGATACAGCTGCACTTTATAACAAACTGATCAAAAGCAACAATATACAGCTTACTTTCTGAATCAGTTACAGATAACAGAGTCATGATTGTGGCATTTTAGCTGACAATTGTTAATAATGATACTCTTGTCTTGTCCTGTTTGCTTTATGTGTCTGTTAGTTTTAGATTAGAGGCATTTGTGCCTTTGAACTCCACTTTGTTTTACTGCCTATCTGACAAATTTCTCCTGCCAAATTATTTGGCTCCTTTTTAATTTTGCTTAAAGCCAGAATGTGCACATCGTGGTGCTGTGATGTTTGACTTTGCAACTAAATCAATGACTAATTAATTCATGTCAGTAGGTGCTCATTGAATCGTAGTCAGTCGAATATTAAAAGTCAAGCATCTCGAAATAAACATTTGTCCCCATTAAATGACAACAGAAGAAGAAAGGCGTACAAACAGTGGAGAGTGACGTGAAAACAGAGATGAAATGAAGCATTTCTGTTCGTTTCATCCAGATGTTTTTACATAGATGAGTGGAAATGATTCTAACCATTATGAAAAGTGATTACAGTCGGCTCAAATAATCCCCACTTACATAATAAGTGTGACAGGCCAACATGTAACATGTCGTATCTGCTTGCAAATTTTGAAAGGTCATGATGTCGTTGCTAGAATATGTAGAGTGCTTTGAAACGCATCAGATCTGCAGACAAGAGTGTCTGTTCAGAAGCTGCTATGAACAGGTGCACACATGTGACTGCATAAGATTAAAATAAAAGGCGACTTTCTTTTGTTTGTGTGTTTTTGCACATGACCCAAAAACAGAAACTAAGAGAGACTTAAATGTAAGTGGGTCACAAAAACACACAAGTTTCAAGTGACAGCGGCACCAGATTCCCCACATTTTTCTTTGCATTCTGTGGAGTCTTACTGAACATTTTTATTCTAAAAATATGTGAAACATGTAAACCAAGGTGCCAAAACGTTTGCCCCTCCCCCCCAAATGACAACAAGTGAGCAAATAAATAAAATGAAAACAGCTGAAGCAGTTAAAATGAGAAAGTAGCTCCCATGTGGGAGTAACCACACCCTTTCCAAGTGCATTTATAGCCAGCCCGCTGTATAATGTGGATCTCGTTAGTTTTATTATGCTTGTTAAGAGTAGCAAGTTTTTAGTGTAAATGTGGTGATGAAGGATTGTCATTGGCTCTAAGTGTCAGCTGACCTCTCCGCAGGGGTCTCCACGCCACAGCGAGAATCACATACAAGACGATCCTGCAGGACAACCTGGTGAGCTCACACCTCTCGGCTGACAGTGTTTCTCAGTGGTGAGTGAACAGATGAAGGCTGAGCTGACAGTGAGCTCATGCTGCTGTGTTTCGGGCAGGGAGCCACGCTCACGCTCTGGTCCAGCTGTGGTCGATCGAGAGGCGGTCGCTACGGAGAGTGGCAGGGGGTCATCTGCACGGGAGAGACCAACTCTCAGGTCCAGGTGGGGAAGCAGAACGAACGTAACACCTCGATGGCATGTCTTCTTTTGGACTGAACAAAATAATTTCCTACATTTAAGCTTATTTAAAAGCTTGTTCATGTAGCTCCGTTGAGGAGCCAGCTGGGTACAGGGTGGAAAACGATAAAAGAGAATAAAGTCGACTTACCAAGACTCAGAGCTTTCCTCAGTGTCAAAATAATCTTCATTAGGGATGTTCTCAGTGATCAGAATTGGGGCCAATCAAGGCTTTTCTGTTACTGATCGGTGTCGGCACAAACCTAATTCTGATTCTAAATGTGCATCCTCTGTCACACAGGAGTTGTAGAGCACAATGGCACGATGCTACAGAGTTTTCTAAATCAATAATCAGCAACATTGTCTATCAGTCACTAACAGATAAATCAGTGAGAACTATGCACCCGGTGTGTCCTGTGCAGACGTTGCTGTTTCAGTCAGCAGACGTGTTATTTGGTCTGTAACATGCTGTCCTCGTTGATCCCGGCTTGTTTCAAACACTTGGGCTCTAGCTGGAAGTCATTGCTCGTCCCTGAAGTCTTAGTCATGGAGGCCAGTAGCTAGCTGAACCCCCACAATGCTCTTTGTTTGCCAACATGAAACTGCCCGTAGTCCGACTGATCTCCTCGGGTCGCGACAGTATCAGACAGTAAGAGGCTCCACCTGGTGGAACAACCTGGTACTACAGCTAAACTACATATTCTGACATGCATGTAGAGAATTCAGGTTCTCTCTGTTTAGCTTTACCTGTTAAACACTACATCCCAGACAGTGCCCTACCAGAGCTTTACAACAAGATCCATGGCCACCTACGTACCGTTAGGGAGCAGCTTGGATGTACAAATGCATTTTTTTCCAATGCATTCGACTGATTGAAATACCTTTGATGTACATTAAGTATGTTTTATCAGGTTTGCACTTGTTGGCAGAAAATATTAAATGACTCTGATCAGATCGGCGGCTGAAAACCTTCCTAATCTATATACTTACCTTTTCTTCTGCGGACTGGCTAATTGATTGGTGTTTATTCTAAACAAATTAAAGTTTAAATATCCTAAAACTTCCCAGAATCCTTTTGTCAATCACACTGAGCAAACCAATAAGCAGAGTGTTTTTAAAATGAACCAGATGTTAAAGCGCTGCTGCTCCTCTCTGCTGTGTCTGCAGAAATACCTGCAGCAGCTGTGGGACACCGTCCTGCTGGTGGCGCTGATCCTCAGCACCGGAGTCATCGTTCAGGCTCGCTGGCAGTACCAGGACCACCAGCTGAACGACGACCTGGAGGTAAACCACCGATGGTACCGTCACGGGGAAGTCTTTGGTTCTGATTGGCAGAGCGGGACGGAGAGTTTAACAACAAATCTTCTCCATGTCTCTGTTTTCTAATCTACCAACATGTATAATAATGACCAGAGGGGGAAAGTAACTTATACTTGGAGCATTTTAATTTTCTACTCCACTACATTGTTTTGATAATGTGGAAACATTTTATCTTGACCATCAATAATTAATGTTAAAATGTTAGTTCATAGTTTCTACAGTCAACAAACAATTAAATAATAACAATGTTTGCTAATATTACCAATACTATAATCTGTCATTATTTTGTTTAATATAAAATAGTTATTGTACTTAACATATTTTTGTTGTTGTTTAACAGTAAAGTTAACATTACATAAAGTCTTTTTAACTATTAAAATAAACTGTCACTGATTGCTTCAGTAACTTTAGAGTTTTATAATAATAATAGGAAAGCAAGCAAATATATTATGATGTATTATAGATGAAGATAATTACACATGAGTGGAAGGTTCATAATCAGCTCAACAGTGTGCAAAGTAATGAACATTATCCTCAAATTTATCAGCTGCAACATGAAAGCACATTACATGACATTAATTTATTAATAACTACAATCCAATCACATGCTGTGCTTGTTCTCTGTTATGAGTATATTTTGATGCTAATAACAGCATTTTTGCTGCTGACAATGTGAGTATTTGTATGGTGTGGTACTGAGTCAGTTCATCCCACTGCTGCTGAAGTTCTGCAGACATGTTGTTTGATCTCTTAGTGATGAGTCTCAGCCAGTTCAGTCACAGCTGGTAGTAACATAATGCACATGTCGCTGCTTTGTACTTTCAGAAAACGCTCATGATTTGCAGATTTTGGGGCATAAAATGTCTTTAAATACATAAAGTCCTCCCTTTTTAATAACCAGATGCATAATATTGAAGTGCTACATATACCTGCCTACCTGCACCTGAAGCATCAGTGAGTCAGGATGTCGTTCTGTCGAAGCCTCTCGATGTTTTCTTTGAGTCACGTTAAGGCCAACAGACAAAAAGATGTTCTTTATATCAAGCTGAGAGGTGCTTAGATTTCAGCTTTTGTAACTGTGATGTCGTCTTTCTTCACTGAAGCGTCAGAACGAGCGCATTAGTTGCACAGTGTGGGAGGAACATTAAAGAGAGACATTTATTTACACTTCATGACACTTTATAGCAGCTTCAAGAAAATGAATCTCAAGTGAACAACAGAAATGCTGCACTCCTCTTACCAGAGCATACTCGAGTGTAGCCTTCGTTATGCAGCACACTGAGCTTTTTCCAGTAGAATACAGTTTAATTGCCATTTGCATTACAGGACAAGAAATTAAAAACAAATACAAACATACACTATGAAAATGAAATAAATAATAAAATAGAAAGGACTTTGTATAAAAAAGTGTTAAAAATAGATACCCTGAGAAGGTAACTGCACATATTTTGTGGTAAACAGAAGCTATACTTCACCTGTTGGTTTGAAAACAGAAGTAATGACCGTAGTGATGCTGCACATGATTGGAGACAGTCTGTTTGTGGGGAGATGGGCGTTTAATTGTTAATTGTCCAGAGTGTGAATGAAGTAAGACATGAGGTGATGTTCTCCTGTGTTCCGTCTCCAGCTCCTCCCCAAACAGGACGTTCTGAAGAGAATGTCGTCCCTGAAGACCAAAACCTACCGTCAGCCCAAACCCTGGTGCGACCCGTCGCAGCCGGTGGAGACGGACAACTGCGCCGTGTGTCTGGAGCCGTTCAACAACAACCAGGTGAGCCGACTTATCATTTCCCAGTTTGTCCTTCCTTTATTCCTCTCCTTAGCTCCTCTCCTCACCGCTTAGTCCCTCCCAGTTGAGATTTGAGCGGTGGAAGCAAGTAAGAAACACAAAGAGGAACGAGTTGAGGCAGCAGGCTTTTAACAAAATGAGACCTTCCTGCCTCGGTGCTGTTATTTCAAAGGAACGTCGAGTAAAAATGCAGCTGCTTCGTTGCAGCCTCTTTTATGATTTCTATTATATGAGCAGAAAAATGTTCATTATAACACACAGTCGGTTATATATTAACTTTTAATCCCATTTACAAGTTGACATAATATGACAGAAATGTATGAATGTTTTTTTTTATTAACACACAAAAGAGCACTAAACATACACAAAGTGATGCGATAACTGAGTGATAAACAGAGCTTAACAAATGTATTAGACCACCACCCTATGCCATATTTATGCCACAGCTGCTCTAAATTAACAGCACTGGTAATTAACAAAAATAATTTCTTATGTTTCTGTCATGGTTATTACACCAGTATGTAGAAGCTCTTTAACCCAAATAATATTTTTAATGCTAAAATATATTTACTATTATGTGTTTTACCAAAAAAATCCCAGAAAAATAGTGAAGCACATTATTGTTTCTTGATTAAGATGTCAAATTATAGTTATTTACTTGCATTCCTGAACAGAAAAATTCGTTTTAGTGGTTGAATGTTATGCTTTGATTAATATCTGACTTCTCAGAGAAGCCCAGTGGCTCAGATGTGAAATCCCTCATTCCTGTTTCCTGTGTTTATCTGTGTGTTGCACCTCTTTTATGTGACTGGTGTATGAAAGAATTTATGAAGGACACACCTGTGCATGCTCGCTCTAAATCATCCTTCATGACTGCACGCCAAGGTTAAATTTGAGGTCACAGCAGGAGGATGGAGGACAGAGGAGGCTTAAATTAGTAAAATGAGATGAGTCTGTGTCCTCCCTGCAGGCTGATGTGACCCTGCAGGTGAGCTCAGGAAGAAGCAAAGTACAAGTGGTGATGTGGAAATAAATGCACATTCTGCCTTTTGTCGTGTTTTTAAAAACAAAAAAGAAGACTGAGCTGTAATAATGTTAAACTTCCTGTTTGCGTTGTTGTGCAGTGTTTGCGGGTGTTGCCGTGTCTCCACGAGTACCACAGAGACTGTGTGGACCCCTGGCTGCTGCTGCAACACACCTGTCCTCTGTGCAAACGCAGCATCCTCAGTGAGTTCACAGCTGAGCGTCACACACACACCGACACACTCCGTTAGCTTCATCAGTGCTTCTGTATGAAAGGCTTCCATTTATTCACATATCACAGCTGTTATTATTATTAAATCTGACTGACTGAATGATTGTTGTTGTTGTATAGAATATATGCTATATTGATTTAAAAAAAAAAAAAAGTGAGCTTTTACAAGATTGAATTTCCCTTCTGGGATAAATAAAGTATTTTTCATTTCATTTTTCATTCATTTCATTATCCAGGGTTGTAGGCTCTGTCTTCAACTACCTGCACAGTGAAGTTGTGGCTTGTTTCTAAACACTGTTGCTGTGATGGCAGGTTTACAAACACTAATCAACTGCAATTAGTCAATTGACCACATAGTACTTGATGAAGCTAATTGATGTTTAAAAAGAACAGTTCGGCACTTTAATCTAAGACATTATGTCCATGTTGTCTCAGTACCTTGTTTTAAAAATACTTATATGCAGAATGAAGCCGTTATTGTAAATACACATTATAACCTGAATGTAACCACTGATTAAGGAACGACGTAAACAGGATGAAATAAGGCCTTTGAATACATTAAATTGCATTATTGTTACTTTTTGAGCTGTTTCCAAAAGTGAAAGGATATTTTGCTGCCTTTTCATCTCAGACTAGTGAAAAATAATGAAGTTCACTGTGATGCTGAGGGACAGCAGCAGCTACCAGCAGCCTTTATGCATGGCTTTGTGAATCAATCAGCACATCTTAAATGTCAATACAGCTGTTTTTATCGTCTCTTTTGTTTTATGGTGATGATTAGATCTCATAAATTTTCAGCCAGATTCTGCAAAATGTGAATATTCTGTTTCCTTACCTGGAGAAAAAAGTGGCAAAGCAGTGCTACACCTATGTTCCTGTTATTTGATCCTCATTTACAGCAGAACTCCTGTAACTCTGCTTCAGCAAACCTCTGAATGAATTCTTTATAGTATTTGAATGCAACAAAACATTTTTTTTTCTTGCTTTAGTGTGAAATATCGTGTTAAGCTCACTGTCTGAAACTGTCCAAACCAGTTTGATTCTCTCTAATAGACGGACATTTTTCTCTTATTTTTAACCAGGCAAAAGCTTCACTGAAGGTGAAAACAGGGCTACAAGCACAAGATGCTTTCATTATTAATTCATCTTTAAATTGAACAAAATTCCCATAAATTGTCAGTTTAAACTCAAAGACTGTTAGTTTCATATCAGAGACTGAGGAAACACTTAAACTGGAGAAGTTACAGGTAAAATGTGGCCTTTCTGTTTCTATACACTTGATTTAGAAAACACCGTTAAATGATCTTCTGTTGCTCCACTGCTCTGTATGTTGATTAACTGCGTCAGATCTACACTCAGAGTCTTTCTTTCCCTTTCCAGGCAGCGTCTGTAAGGACAGTTAACGGTCGCCTCGCCTCGTCTCTGCTGCAGCAGCTCTGGGAATCAGCTCTCGTCTCGACCTCAGCGACACTCCGGTAGCCGTTTTCTTTCTTTTTTTTTTTAAACTGACCTCAACGCTTCCTCCTTCCAGCAGTGGATCGTGGGAGCAAATAAGAACTTGTCACAGCAGCTGAGCAGCCGTGGGACTGTGCAGCAGTCGTACTTTAACCTCTGACCTTCAGTGGGTCTCACAGACATGGTGGTGGTGGCGCCAACACAATACTCTGAAGTACTGCACCGGCGCTGTTGTGTGGAAACAGTGCTTCTTCCTGGGATCTTGTTACTGTACAACTGTGGTAATGTTTGTGTGTGTGTGTGTGATCTGCAGCGGTGAAGACGTGACTCAACCAAACATTTAGCTTTGAATTTGTAAAAACTGACGACCTCAGCGAGTATTTACGAGCCGGCTGACGGACTTTCAGTGTTGTCTGGTTGTGAGCATGAACGTGTCGATCGCCTGGCCAGCGTCAGTGTTCACTTTAGGTCCAAATGATGTCAATAACCAACTTACCAGAGTGGACCAAGTCGCATCTCGTACTTTTGCAATCCAGTGTTAGCTGTAGAGGTGGTGTAGTCGTAGTGCAGGAGTCCGTGTGCACCAGTCGGTAACTTATGTGAGGAGTTAAAGTGTTCTCACTTGTCCTTAACGCGCCTTATGACTTAACTGCAGAGCGGTGGAAACACAAAGCACCTCTTTAATCATGCTTTACAACCTGAGATTTATATGTTACAGAAGCTAGTTTAGTTGTAGTTTTCCTGTTTAAAACAATTAGTGACGAAGATGATGAACAGGAAGGTTTTAGAGTTTGTGGCTGCAGCTTAGTGTCTCACTGCCACTCCAGACAACAGATTGATATCACGCTGTAACGTGAAAGGTTGATTGTTATAAGGTGTTCTTTCACTTTACTACGACTTGTGTTCTTATAACAATACACTATTTATTTTGTTAGATTATTTCATTATTAAACTCACATTTGAATGAGGAAACTATGTGCTGAAAACAGATCAATTTAAGAAAACGGCTCTTTCACTCTCGTGCAACTTTGGGGACATTTTGCATTTTGATCATTTTGGCTGTGTCAATATGGCACAAACTGTCGATAAGGTGTGCATTTAAAAAAAACTTTGACCTCATAATAACTCCTCCTACAACATAAAAAAGTTAACACCAGGACTTCAAAGACCAAAATGTCACAATTAAACACCATTGACCTGCTATTGTTTTGATTCCGTTACAGCATTGAATTCTGTTGTTTCCTTCTAGAGCGCTGGCTTTAAAATAGTCATATTTAATATTTTCTTCCATTATGTGTCATAATATTTTATGGCAGTATTAGAAAAACACTGTTTGTGTTTTTCTAAATCTGACACGGCATAAGAAAGATTGCATCAGAGTTAATGCTGTTGCTAATTACTGACATATCCAAGACTGTAATATTTAAAAAAATGATTTTAAAATCATGTACAGGAGCAATATTTCTCAGCACACTGTTACCAATATGTTCTAACAAGAAAAAGTTTGTTAGATCGTGATGTCGTAATAATATGATAACATCCTGGTTTAAGATGCTTTATAACATGACACTGATCTGTTTTCCTGCCGTGGCAGCAGTACGCTCCCATACACATGGATGTTTGCTCTGTTCCTTTCAGAAAGTCTAAATGAAGAACAGTTCTGTGATGCTGTCCAACTCAAACATGTGTCCTCTTCGGGCTGCTTATGCACCACCAGCTGCAGACACGTAGTTGGTATTATTCAACTACTGCTTGTTCCACTGGAGGACTCGGTTCATACCTGCACAGTGGACTGATGTCTGCGTGTTTAATGGATGTGAACTACATGTGAAACCAACACGGTGGCTGCTTCTGGTTAACCAACACATGCACAGCTGCTTTCCTGGTAGCAGAGCGGCGATAAAAATAACTAAAGGCTACTTGCACTTTTGCACAGACAAACTCAAAGTCACTTGTATAGTTAGAATAGTGTCATGATTTCTACATCCACACAACGTGCACGAGGCTCCGTCTGCACCGTTTATAGTTCACATCCACAGAACACGTAGAAAACCTTTCTGCTGCACATGTATGAACTGGTGGACTAAAAGTATGGTAGCAACATGAGGACAAGTCTGCACATCATGTTGGCGAGGTGGTAAACCAGGAAACACCTGCATCAGCTCTTATTTAGCTTTTAAAGGAACACTTTTTGACAAATTTGCTCTCCTGTCTGCAGTCACATTAGATGATACCACGCTTGTGTTCCTGCAGTTAATTAGAGGCATAAATCAGAAGTGTCTGTAACATAAAGACATGTGAGTGGATCAATTCTGTCGGCTAAACAAGAGAGCAAATCTACGGGTACCAAGTGTTCCTTTGCAAAAAGACAAATTCAACGTGTTTGTTTACATACAACAAACAGTCAGATGTTCCAGCACAGCAGAACTGTTCACTTACCAACAGTGGGCGAGTAATCAAAATGAACTGCAGCCGTACTCCTGTGAAACAAAGAAGGTCACGTCTAATAGATTTTGACATTTTGTCAGTGACGACTCAAACTCCAAGGATGTCAAAAAATTATTGTATTTATGTTGTTGTTTTTTTTGCAATGTCAACTCCAAAAAGCAATTACATGTGCTTTCCTTTGTTACAAAATGCTCTGATAGATCTGTTCTCTTCATAGAAAATAGTCTGTGCATGGCCACGTGTAGGAGGTTCCCCACAGCTCGGAGACAAACAGCGAGTGCTTCCAAACACAGCAGCACGGTAACGTACGGAGCCCTGCAGGGTCACGGGGAGCAGTTTGGGATTTGCATTTCCTCCAAATCTGCTTTTTGTTTCCTCTGATCCACATGAACAGTCGGTGCGTTGGTCTAACGCGCTGTAAGATGCTACAACGAGGGGAAATGATGCATTTATTCATTTCAAAAAGCCGATCTGCGACATCATACAGCTGCTGGAACGATGAAGCTCAGTTGTTGTTCGGCTGCTACTGTTACTGTTTGAACCTTTGCTGCTTCTGTGACAGATGTGTGTGTGTTTAGAAGTACAGCAGCTTCAACACAACACTTAGTCTGTTTCACCAGTTAAAAACTAATATGTCACAGCTGATATCGTAAAGCTGCAATGACTGAATCAGTAAGAAAGCTGCTGCTTCTCTAGTGTTCTGTCCTAATGCAGACTTGTGCCTGACAGTCACAGCTCAGGGCTTCAGGACAATTCATCATATTTAGAGCTGCAACTAATGATCATTGATCTACTGATTACTTTCTTGACTATTCAATTAGTTTCTGGTCGATAAAATGTCAGAAAATGGTGAAAAATGTGTTTGTCAAAGCCCAAAATGACGTCCTTGAATGTTTTTTGTCCAACAACCTGAAGACATTAAAGTTTACCGTCATAGAAGAGTGAAGCAGACAGAAAATATTCACATTAGGAAGTTTTTTTTTGTTTTTTTTTTAACTCAAACCAAATAATTGATTTCCAAAATAGCAGATTAATTTAATAGCTGACTTCTAATCAGTTAAACATTACAGCTCTACTTTAAAATCTATTTAAACTAAGTATAACTGAAATACAGCATCAGTCTCCTCATTTAAAAAGCCAGTTGTTTATATCCTAAACTGCATTGTTTTTGCAATTTTAATTCAGCCATAATTGAAGCAGCTGTATTCATGAAGTCCTGTCAAACAAACACATCTGTCAGGAACAGCTGGACTGAACCGCAGCAGCAGCCGAAGTGTACACAACCAAACATCAGCCACAAATTCATCATCACAACCAGCAGCTGGATGCTGTCACTGATCAGCTTTTTAAGATGAACAATGAGCCTCGGCAGCGTTCTAACAGACCGACTGTTCTCACGGACCAGAGGGAATGAAAGCAGCAACACAAATTTAGTTCTGAAAAACTCCTTGCCGTGATCTCTGTGCTAATAAGATAGTCACAGAGTAGATTTGTTTTGTGAAGGCTGGACGACAGCGCTGACAACACGGTCAGTCGCTGCCTCCGTCACCGGGTCAGTTATTGTTCTTTGAGCTACAGAGGGAACCGCAGTCTCTCCAGAACCCCCAACGTCTCTGCATCCTACTCCTATGTCGTCTATCGGTTGATTATGATGTCAAAGAAGCTTCACTCTACCACTCTGGATCTTAATAAACTGATTTGTTACTTGGCAAAAATAAAGGTGTGATTCTTTGTCGTCAGTCTCTGGCTCACACTCGCAACTTTGGTTTTCAATGAGCTGACCATGTGTCCGTCTCAAACTCTAAAAGTTCAGTCTCAAACATTTCGACAAGCTGCTTTAAAAAGCCAAAATGTAGCCCGCGGTCTGTAAACTAATGCAACCCTTTCAACACCAGCTGAGAACCTGCGGCGGCTTCTGGAGCGTGAACCATGAAACCAGAGCGTCGGCAGGCTCTTCTTCCTTCAGTCCCACCTCGTCTCCGTCGGTCAGGACGGGATCATGCCTTTGTTCCTCTTGCGGTCGGCCATCGTGCGCCGGTTGTGGTTGGACACGCGGCTCTTGTTGGCTTCCTTCTTGCGTCGGTCCAGGAATGTCTCCGTGGTTTGTCCTTGGCCTTTGGGCCGACCCACGACGTTACCGGCCCGCTCCGGCCGGACGCTGGAGGAGAAGGAAGGAGGGACGTCAGCAGGAGGAAGGGCACAGACAGAACTTTTCTGAATTTAAAAAACATCACAACACATAGCTGGAAGAATTTATGCCAAGTCTACTTTGTGTTTTTACCTGTTAGTTTAAAATTTTCTTGTGTAAAATATATAAAGTTTTGCCATTTCTCAGTCCTAAATCTGCCTCAGAAGGCTTTACAGTAAGAACCACACTCTACATCCATGAACACCTCCATTCAGCTACCAAAAAAAAAAGGTAAGAAGACTCTAAAAACACATTATTTTCAAGAGGAAACGTCTTAGATGGAAGCTGCTGGACAGTGATGTTTGTATTTACCCTTTCCTCTGCTGCATGGCGGCTCTCCTGGCTTCAGCTCGCTCCCTCAGCAGAGCCGGATCCTGCACGAACTGGTCCCTGTTTGTGTTGTTCTGAAATAAAACACAGTCGCAACATGCAGCCAGTAAGAGAACATGCAGATAGTACAGTTGCAGTTGTCCGAAAAAATGAATATTTAGTGGGCAATGTTAGAAAAAGATCTGCATGAAAAATAAATTCTGCAAATGCGTTGGTTTCATTTACAACTTCAATATTTTTTGTGACATTTTATGACAAGAGTTTTCTGCCTGGTGTTTGGTTTAAGACGCACAAGTAGAAACATGACTACGTTTGCTGTAATTTATGCAAAGTACATAAAAATATCATCGAGGAATAAAACAGCGCCGGTGATGTTGATGATTATTTGTCATTTATCGATTAATTTCATTTCCAAAAATAATTTAATCATGTAAAATGTTAACTGATAATGCAGAAGTTGAGCAACACACAGCTCAACTGTTAAAAAAAAAAAAAAAAACCACATTGTAGATATGTTGCAGTAGCTGGTTGCTCCACCAGGTGGCTGCTGCTGTTTAGTCAGATGGAGTTACAGGTGTGTTTGCTGATCATCCATGAGAGCTGCATAAAACGAGCACACCTCTCTGCTAACTCTGGCCGTCATGTTGATGAACTCTGCAGCAAAAAGGTGATCAAGCTAGCGACCTGAGGCTAATGCTAAGCTAAGATTTGCAAGTTGGTAGCAGAAGGAGCAGCAGGACTCTGATTATAAGCGTCCAATTACATTGAAACTGAAGTGATGAAGTGTGTCGATGCTCTGCTCCGAGTAAAGACACATTTTACAGGTGGCAGTAAATCCTCACAGAGTTCCTGAGCTGATAAAGTTGCTGCAACAGAATTCGTGGACGTCTGAGCGAACAAGTCACTCCGTTAGATCGATCAGTCATGAGATTAAGAACATTACAGGCTGTTTTCTGTGGAAAACTGCAGCTTGTTTGTTTGATACTTGAGATTTTGTCAGTCCAGTCGTTATAGAGCAACTTTGAATGAACTCTTTTTTTTTTTTTTAACTGACTTTATAATTTAGTAGCCACGTTTAATCCATGTGTTCCTAAATTAAGTCAAGTGGTTATAAACAGTTTAATCAGCATATTGAAAAATGCATTTTATTTATTTCAAAGATTTTAAACTTCTAACTTTGCCTCCTAATTAGTGCCGTTCAATCAAACATTATCACAGAGCTTTAATTAAATTAAATGTTTCCAGTACCTGTAGAGTGTCTTCCTCGTCCTCCTCGTCACCCTCCTCCTCTTCCTCTGCCTTGTTTCCTTTCCTCAGTACCTGCGGGACGGTGAACGGTCTGCAGGAAAACAAAGATTAAAAGGTTTTTAATCCTGCTTCACCGAATGTTTCCACTTCACCACAGACGCCAGACTCGTACCTTCTGTTCAGCAAACTGTCTCCGTCCAGGTCGTTGGCTCCCACTTGGTTCATGTCGTACGTGTCGTCGTACTCGTCGTCGTAGTCGTCCAGGTCGTAGGCGGCGGCCGACTCTCCGGGTTCGACGACCACCTCGTCCACCACCGTCTCGTAGGCCAGATATCGAGCTCTCTGCTCCTCGATGTGCTGCTTGTCGTTCAGCAGCTCTCGAGCACTTTCACCTTTCCTGAAGTGCACAAAAAAAACCAAAAAACAGATTACACTTTAACCACACGTCTGTTTCTGTGAATACGTGTAAAATTAACGTGAGTAGCCAAATGGTTTTAAGAGTGCAATGGCATCAAAGACAACATCTTACTTGAATTTGATTCAGCATTTTTAGATTTTAAATCCAAAACAACAACTTAAAAGGCTCCATTTAGTCCACCAGTATACTGGTGGATTATAAAATTATTCACATTCAGCAGCTCTGAGCACAAAAAAGAGCATCTCGTGTGTTTTCACCTCCTGCCCTTCCAGATGCGGGACATGTCCACCTGGTCTCTGCGGAAGACGTCAAACTCGTCGTCATCGAACACGTTGGATCTGTTGTTCATCACGTCTGGAAGCTCCTCCTTCACCGGCCTACGGACGCAGGAGAAAACTTAGACATCATCCACCACATTTACCCCAAAAATGATCCACACAGTTGATGTTAGAACACAGAAGCTGTAAAACTACCGTCACTACAGAGGGAACCGATATAATGACAGTCACTTTATTCACTCGAAAATCTAAATTTTTAAAGCTTGTCATGAGCATCAGTCAACTAAAGTACAGAACAAAATGAAAATGTAACTTTGTTCTACAAACACTGCAAAAATAGATTCATCAAATACTCATCAACTATTTATCATCTATTCTGATTATCTATTCACTGGTTCAAGGATGTTTTTTTAATTGAAAAACTGATTTCAGCTTCTAAAATGTGGATATTTGCTGGTTTCTTTCCGCTCTGACAGGAAACTGAATATCTTTGGTCATCTTGAGCATTGGGAAACACTGATGAACACTTTCCTACATTTATAGACCAACAAAACAACTAGCTGACTAAATGAGAACATAATAAACAGATTAGTGAATTCATTACTGTATGCTCAAAATCTTTAAATACCAGAGAAGAAGTCAAAAAAATAAGCACCGTGCTCCTTTAGACATAATTATTGGCACAGACTTGTACGCAGACGGGTTCACATTGACTCTCGTGGATTTATGGAGAAGTGTTTGTTACACAGACCCTCACAGATTGAAGTTTAACACTGACGCTTTCTTTTTAACCAGGATTGTTGGTGTTCATGTAGCCAACATGCCATTAAAACATCCTCCACCTCATCAGACCAACAGACTTCAGCAGGAGTCTGGACTGTTGACACAAAGGCTTTAGCTCCGTGAACTCATGCTGCTGGTTCTGATCCGCCATCTGCAGCCTCAGCAGAAACACACATTCACCAGACCAGGAAATGTTTTCACAGACTTTAACCGTCCGGTGGTGGCGAGTCTGTGCCGCCTGCAGCCTTAACGTTTCTGACAGGAGTGGTGATCTGCCACGAAACCACAGCCGAAGATCACATCATCTCATTCTGAAGCTGCAGAGCTGAAGGCTGGACTATGAAGTGAGATTAATGTAGTTAGCAGGTATACCCTTCAGGTGTCATGAAGGCGGTTATCAGGTTTCTTCAGGAGACAGTTGTCAAAGGCACATTTGTGACACTGAAATCTCTGACTTCAGGCTCAACATACCTGATAACCCACTAACCTCACTTCGTAGTACAGCCCTCTGTTATCTCTGATTGGGGTTTTAGGTTTTGTTGAGCCAGCGAAAGTCTGGTTATGTCAAACCTGCGTTGTAGCACAGCCCTAACGAAGTGCTTAATAAATGGACATCACAGTGGAACACAGTAAACTGAATATTACTGCTCATTGTGACATCAAATTAAATCTCAGCAATATAATATCATCATCTTCAGAAGCAAAATCCACCAAAACCAAAACATAATTATTTTGCAACATATGTAAAGTCTGCGGTGTGCAGCGTCACCTCGGCATGGCTCGGTCCAGCTTGTCCAGGTTCGGGGTCAAGCGGTCCTCCAGGATGTTGTTGATGACCAGCTCCGAGTTGTAGTCGTACTGCTGCAGACAGGCGAGCAGGAAGCCTTCGCCCAGATCCGGAAGGAGATCCCTGATGCACGACAGGAGAGACTCCAGCTCGGCCCCGCTGACCGAACACACCGCACCCTGAAAACAGAAAATAGTAACAAATGACGTTGTCTGGATCAAACTGGATCGTCTGTCCTCCTGGATTTCTTTTCTGTTTGATTAATTTACGTGTCTAAAGTGTGTTTAGGACTTTGTCATCCAACAGAAATACAGATTTAAATCAAACACTTCAAGAAAACTGCAGCGACAGAATGAACAGACAATTAATCAGCAATTTATTTTCATTATGTAACAACAGTTTAATTTAATCTAAGAGAAAAAAATCCACACAAGTTCTTAAAGGGGAGCACTTTTTTTTTTTTGCCATATGCGGACTATTTTTATTTAGGGACTGTAACCGAGACGTTTGAGGATTAGAAGGAGTGTTTTTCACAACTACTCGCAACTTTGTGTTAATATGCAGTCAAAAAATAGTGAAGGAGTGTCAGCTGGAGCCCTTTATCGAACTGAATACATCTTGTTATGTGAACAAACCTGTGACACTATCTATGAAAATTCCTTCAGCTAGTAACCAGCAACAAACCATAACAATACAGGACACTGAGCTGCCATAAGAACTCATTAAATTATCAGAAATAATCACAGAACTCACGTTGTTTCCTTTTCTTGGAACGTCCAGCATGGCCTCTGCTCCTTCTGGCTCTCTGACCTCCTCAGCTTTAAATCCACCTGAAGCAGCAGCAGCAGAAGCCCCGCCCACCGCGCCCTGATTGGCCGACGAGGTTTTCCTGTGGATCTGTGGTTTCCGTCGGCCGACGCTGTCCCAGGCGCTCTCCACGCCCTGCAGCAAGTAGGACGTCCTGGTCTCATCGCTGAGGGAAGCAGCCGGTCAAGGAAGAAACCAACAAACACCACGGATGTCTGGTACTAAAACTCACGACTGGGTTTAGTCAGATTGAAATTCACCACAACTGTTTGCAGGCTGTTTGTACAAACATGTTGGTGTAACTCTGCTGAGGATACATGACAGGAACAGCCTGCTGCAGGAGGCTGACGTCGTCTGAGATGGGAAACTGCTCGTCGTAGTCTGACAAGAACCTGGAACGACAATCAAATGGTTAAAACTCTGATTTAGGCAGAGTGTGCACCTCATTCTCACACTCGTTCTTCAGTTTATTAGCAGATTTAACAAAAAAGTTGTGCACTAAAGCCACACAAAGGTAAACCCAACTCTGAAGGATATTTATCCTAAAATATGATAGAAATATAACTCAGTCACTGATGCTCCTGTGACACGAAGGTAAAACGAAGATAAAACCAATCAGAAAATTATTCTTCAGACTTTTAGTTTAATTTTATTCAGTTTCTTGCAGAACTTATTGAGGACGATGATGCATAACAGGCAAACTGTAACGACACCATGAGCAGAGAATTATTCAGCCACTACAAACTATCTAAGAATAGTTTTAATTGTTATAATTGTTCTATAATAAATAGACAGTTGAGGACGTTTCTTTAGGCTGTTGGGAACTACAATGAGTTTTTTTTCCCACAACTACTCTTAACTTTGTGTCATTATTTAGACAACAAATAGTGAAATATGAAGCTAGGCAAACATAAAATTCATCAGAAAAGTATTCTTCATTCATTTGAAAACTTTTCAGTTTAACTAAACAAATAGAAAACCTTTTTTCCATGTTTCCAATGAGTCATTTGTTATTGGTTCGGTTTCTGCCTTCATGTTTTTTCCTTTTTTCATTGTTTGTACTTAAATAACAAAAATAAAAAAACTATTAAAAAAAAAAAAAAAACTATTAAAAAAAAATCTCCAAATAAAAAAAAACAAAGCACCAAACTCAGAGACAACCACGTCTTACAATAAACCAACAAACCCCCCCCAAAAAACCTGCTGATCTCACCTTTTCTCAGGTAAAAACGAAGTGAAATGTTGTAGGAGTTCCTCTGCAAATGTTTGCATGTTTTCTCTCCTGCAATGCAACGATTGAAGCGATTAATGTGTGTGTGCATTCATGCATACTGCTGATGCTGTTCGGCTGCAAGTTGAGCGTCTCACCCCTCCAGTATCGGCTGCAGGCAGGTGTGATGCAGCAGCAGGTGAGTCGTCTCCACCATCTTACGGGAGGAGTGAGACAACCTCTTCCACAAGTCCTCCTGAAGACTAGAGCAGGGATTAAAGGTTTGTTATTCTAGTGGCTCGGTGCCGGAAAAAAAAGCATTTAACCCTCCTTGGAAGAGTCCCCTTTTATTGTCTTCAATAAATTAGATAGCTATCAATTTAAATTGGCTTTTTTGACAAGAATGTAGAAAAAAAAAGACTCTTTCATGTCAAACTGAAAACATTGAGAAATGGAAGAAATAAACTGAGTGACAGCTTTAGTAT